TATCTTTGCCCTTTTCCAGTCTTCTGGAATTTCTCCCGTCTCCCATGATTTTCCAAAGATAATAGCTAAAGGCTCAGATACCTCCTCTATTAGCTCCTTGAGTATTCTAGGATGCATTTCATCAGGCCCTGGTGACTTGCAGGCATCTAACTTTTCTAAGTGATTTTTAACTTGTTCTTTTTTTATTTTATCTGCTAAACCTACCCCCTTCCCATTAGCATTCACTATGTTAGGCATTCCTTCAGACCATGGAGTAAAGCGCACGAAGTATATACCATGGAGTAAAGCGCACTGAATGAGGGAAGGCTTCAAGTGTCCATTGAAAAAGGCACTGCTGTTGAATCATTCAATGTGTATACTGTGTGGCTTGCAGCAGATAAGGCAATGGCTCTTTGCGTAGAAAAGACTTCCATGGACTCTGTTCCTCTGGCACAAACCCAGTAATAGAATATATGACTCACATGTATCTAAATTAGGAGCATTATCTGATGTTACACTATATGTTTGTCTGTTTTAGACTATTTGAGAAATATATGAAGAACAAACATGTATCATAATACATATGCACGAGGGGACAGAGTTACGGTTGCAAAGCTCATCTCCCACCCACAGCCTTGCAGTAAATGCAGCTGTCACTTGTAGAGAAGCTGTGTGAGTTGCTTAAGGATCTCTCCCTGCCACAGTCACCTCTTCAGTGGCCTTCAAGCAGCTAGCTCTCGTTACCTGCCCTGACTAACGAGACCTGGAGATGCAGGTCTTCGTCTATGACAGAACAAAGATACAGGAGTTTCTCTGACCCCTAGCCCTAATCAAAACCTTTTGAAGTTAATCTTTCATTGCCTCCAGTGGGCTTTGGATTGGGCCATTGTGCATGAGGAGCACCCGTACAGTAGATGGTCCCTTCTCTTGCACTCACCCGCTCCTGCACCTCCACAGTGGTCACTCTGCCGTACTTTTCTTTGACACCCACAGCTGCTTCTGCTGCAAGCAGAGCCTCTGTTGGAATGATGGTCTCAAAATCCTGTGAGGAAAATTTCACTCTCTAGTTAACCAGATATCATGAACTCAGTGACTGTGTGGTTGGTACTGGATAGTCCTGATAGGAACACAATGGTCGCCTTCCCGTGATGCACCTGGAAACTCCTGGAGGTATTGGTGAGCAAGGATGCCCATTCTCCCAGCTCATCCTGGGCTCTATATTGATGATCCTAAGAACCTTGATAAAGGGAGGCAATGGGGTCAGCAGCAGGTTGGGATTGGACCCAATTCATAGTAGATCATCAGCTAGTAGAGAAGGCTGGTACTGCTACATGACTTAGAAAACTATGATATTGAGTAGGCTGCAAGAAGGAATTAAAGGAACCTCCCTTGCACCCATGGTCTCTCTTCTAGGCAGCTTATTGGGGGAAAATCCAGTCAGCTCATGGATCCATTGACCCAACCAATTGCAACCCCAGCAGCTGTCCAAGTTGGGACACTGGGCCTCTGCCACAGCCACTTGTGGCTTTAGGTGGGGTGCTGTTCCTGTTCCTGGCTAATTCATCCAACAGATTCATCCTTCCCTAGGTGTTTGCAGCAAAGCTCTGCTTTCTCAGTGAATTACAACTGAACATGTGTTAGAGAGAGCTTGGGGATGAAAGGGTATCTATTTTACCCACTCCCTATACTGCACTACAGATGCTAGACAGCACAACCTGTATCTGATGGCGTACAATGGTTATTAATCTTGCAGTTCCATAGTGTTGGGAGTCATTGCACCCTGTGTATCTGGCCTCTTTGATACTGAGGATGGATTTCACATATTGAAGGGGAGAGAGAGGGTCCTTGAGGCTGAGGAGAATGATGAAAAGTGCCACAGCAGAAAGGAAGAGAAGTGAAAGAAGGTCCCTGGGAAGTTGTCGCTGTTGTCAGGGAGATTGGCAGGAGAGTTCCATAATGGGGAAGCATTTGGGGCAGACAGGGTGTTAAGAAGGATTTGGTGGGAGACAGTGTTTGGGATCAGAAAGGGAGGCAGGAGAGGATCTCAGCAATTAAAAAAGCCTCTCTGAGGTGAAACTACCAGGCAAGAGGAGTGTGGAGTAGGAGGGATTAGTTGGGTTGGTTGGGTTATAGTTAAAACAGCTTCTATTGTGTGGCAGCAGCCATTTTAAATATCCCAAAATCCAGCCCTTGTTTCTTTAGAAAGATACATGTGGCAAAAATGCTGGATGAATGTGTGAATCAAATCCAGACTAGATTCATCACATTGATAATTCTCATGGATTTCTTATGATTGCTTTCTTTGTTTTTCTAGACCATTGGAGTAGAGCTGGTCTAATTATTCAGCCAAAACATTTTTTGGCAAAAAAAACCAAAATGCAGATTTGGTGACACTGAAATATTTTGTGAATTTGTGTTGGTTTTGCCAAATTTGTTTTTTGGGGGAACCCCACAAACTTAAAAAAAATCTGACAAATTGAAGTGTTTCATTCTGACACATTTGAAACAAAATGACTATTTTGAAATTTTCTTTAATTTGATTTTTAAAAGATCAATTTTTACATGGTTGAAATCAAAGCAAAACTTTTTGATTTCTGTCATAATGAAACATTTATTCAATCTGAAATTAATTTTTATGTGCTGAAAAATTTAAAAAATACATTTTCAGGTTTTTATTGGTGGGAGAAGGGGAATTGTCAGCAAACCAAACAATCCATTATTCTTACATATCTACACTGGGGTATGGAATGAAGATGGTAGGGAATTCACATCATGGACAAATCATGGGCCCAGAGGCATCAGCTGTGCAGAACCAGCCGTGCAGCGCCCATGATCTACTTGGGCTCTGCAGCCATGGAAGCTGATGCTGGGGATGCAATCTCTGTTGAAAAGGCCAGCACTACTTACACGGCTGGCTAACTCTCCCTCCCCAGGGCCAAATTGTTCTGCCTGGGGAAGGAGATTTACACAAGACTCTGACAATTTTGACTGTATAATGACTGGAGATTATGAATTCACCGTTTAATGTGTTGCTTGGAAACTGAATACCCTACCAATTTGCAGAATCCTCGTGGGCAACCTCTCTCTTCCTGGGGGAGTGGGATTGGGCACACACAGACAATGAGAAGAGGGGAAAAAAGTGTGACTTTCCTAAAGTCATCTTGGTTTGCAGATAAAATCTGCTAACTGGGTTTGAAAAATCTCAGATAACATTTCACATTTTTATCAGACTTTACATCTTCATGGCATTCAGTAATTAACCCGCGCAACACTCAGGTCAGGCAGGTGAGTACTATTCATCCCATTTTACAGATGGGAAGATGAGGCAGAGAGGTCAAATGACTTTGCCAAGGCCATCAAGGGAGCCAAGAGTAAAGTTCAAAAGCTCCTGGTTCCCGGTCTCATGCTGTAACTATTAAACCATGCTGCCTTTCAGCATACCTGAATGCCTCTCAGATAAATCAAAATGTGGAGTCCATAGGTAAGGCAGGTCTATTGCCACCTGGACCCCTCCCGGTTAATACTTCTCTGCTTTTGGCTGAATTCCTGAAGCCTTGCCTTTAAACACTGTATTCTGGTTAAACATTCCAGCATCAGGAATGCAGATTTTGGCTGATGCTGCAACGTCATTCCTGCCAGTGTTGATTATTTGAATAACGTTGCAGGGCAGTATGGCATGGCTTTCAGGATATGATATTATTCAACTGCAGCAGTACTTACTACGGGTGTGGGGTGGAGTGAGAGAACAAGCAGACTGGTTCTTTTATTTGAGCTGCTGATTTCCAGGAATTTTATCGCTTTAATGATCGAATATAAAAACATTCAGAAATTCTTACTCTGTATTTACTTACTAATATAAAGGAATAGCCTGTTGACCGATCTTTGTTTCTACTCTACAGCCTCCTCCTCAGATATATGATAAACAGCTGGATGAAAGAGAACATACGATTGAGGAATGGAAAGGTAATCCCATTTTAAAGATATATGGTATATGGACCAAATCTGCTCTCAGATGTAGCAGTACAAATCCAGAATAACTTCTTTGAAGTCAGTTTAGCCCTGTGTACTGATACTTTGTTGGTAAATATAGAAGAGGCTTCTAGAGTTACACCTGTAGTCTCCAAAGGATTTAAAAACAACACCAATAAGTAGTATATTTGATCTGTGAACAAATTCTGTTTTACAGTAGGTCAGAGCCTGATGATGATAGTTCTATAGGGTGAAATTTCTGCCCTATGCAAGGGACCAGCACAAGGCCTTAAATAGGGTTTAAAGGGGTACAGAAAGCCATAAGTTGGTCCCACTGGATACAGGCGAATTTCATCCCAAAGGATGCTCTACAAATTTAACCAACCCTAGGATTCAGTCCATTCGCTGCTGAAATACAGCCGTCTCGGGTTTGGAGAGTCACAGTTGTTTTAACACACACTATACAACCATTCAGGGCAGGAAATGGAAAGGAGTTCCATATTCATTTGAAACCACATGGCATTGCTCATCATGGGCCTAATTTTGTTATTTTTACTTATATTGAGTAGTGCCTTACTGTGTGAATAGATGCATTGATTTCATGGGGGCTACTTGTGTGACATGAGTAAGGATGACAGAAATAGGCCTGTACATTATAGAACTTATTGCCTGATACACCAGGTACTGTTTAGCAAAGACCATAGGGCCAGATTCTGATACTCAATGAAGTCAAGGACACTATTCGGGGAATAAGGTACTATTCAACAGGGGTAACGTGTCAGAATCTGGCCCATGATAAACAGCATTAAAGTCATTGTGCCAGCCCTATTTCTGGATAATGCAACGTTAAAACAGCTTAGCTATTATACTCTCCTATATACACCTCTACCCCGATAGAACACGAATTCAGATAGAACGCGGTAAAGCAGCGCTCCGGGGGGGCGGGGCTGCGCGCTCCGGGTGGATCAAAGCAAGTTTGATATAACACGGTTTCACCTATAATGCAGTAAGCTTTTTTTGGCTCCCGAGGACAGCATTATATCGGGGTAGAGGTGTATGTCTAAAAAGCACACACACACACAAAAAGCAAACTTAGACAGATAGAGCAGAAAGACTTGCTAAAGATCAAGTAGGCAAAATGAGATTGTGGAAGGCTGGTAGAATGCTCTTAAACTCTCTTCCTCTCAGGTAGGAGAAAAGAGGGCTAAGTGTGAGAAATAAAAAGAAACCAGCAAAAACAAATGGGAAATGGTTACACAGGCAGCAAGCGGGCATGGAAAAATGTTGGTTTAATGCTTGCATTCTTTTATTACATAATCATCTGGAAAGGTTTAGCTTCACTCCCAGTTCGTATGTTTTAAAGACTGGCCCATGCGGCCAGTGTTAAATCATTATAATGCATTGCATAAATGTTTTAAAACTCCCTAGTGTGTTTGTGGCTTAATTTTGGTACACAGAAAGAAGAGTCTTATGTTACCTTAATTCAGCACACCGAGTTTGCTGTGCTAAAGTCTATTTTGCAGTGCCAGACGTGGAATGTGAGCTCAGTTACAACAGTCTGTTCCTTTCACTGGTACTAAAGTGACAGAGGACATGCCAAAACTGCCTGAATGGCTCCAGCAGCAGAAACAAGGATGGGGGGGAGGGATAATTGGTGGGGGAGAGAAGAGAGAGAGAGTGACTGATTTAGCAGTTTATAGCATTAAGTTGTTCATGGGCACAAGAACTAGCTACTTTCATAACTGCATCAATTGTCTCTCACAGAACTGATCTACAAGGAAGTAATGAATTCTGAAGAAAAAACTAAAAATGGAGTAGTAAAAGGACAGCCTTCTCCTTCAGGTACTCAACCCCAATGAATAACCTTAATGTGTTTTCCACAGCAGCATAGAGAGGCTGCAGTTATGCATCTGAAGCTGAAAATGTATTCTACAATTTAGTGCTTATAATGAGTTGTTTTATTAACTGAACTCCAGTGTCACTTTAATATTAAAAAATATGCCACTTAGATTCCATGTGAGTTTTGGGGATTTCTTCTCGCTGAACTCATCTTCTCAGCAGCACTGGCGTTTCTAAGGACTATACAAACGCAATACTCGTACCAGTGCTGAAATGGAGATGGGGAATGGTTAATATTTTCAGAACCACCAGGAAAAAGAATATCAGTGATGGCACATTACATTTCTAAATGAGTAAATGAGCAAAACCTATTGAAGTAAATCTATCTGTGCCAATTTATTCTAGCACAGAATTTGGCCCTATGTCCACAAAAGTACACTGCACAAGTGTACTATTTGGACCTACTACTGTAATTTATCCTTTCAGAAGCTCTGATAATGTTAAAACACTTTATTTGAAATATTGATTGAGACTGGGTAAGCAAATAGACTAGAAGGGCCATATTTTCACATAAGGATCCCTAAACAAAATACGTATGCTCAAAATGAGCAAAATCCACATGCATGCAAACAAACATTTGTATACCAACAGTGATTATGTGTACAAACGGGTAACTGTGGAGACATAAATTTTTAGACAAACATTAGGCATCGGGATTTAAAATATTTGTATCCCTGTAGGAATGTATCTATGCATGAAACAACCTTCAATACATTCTAATTATTAATTGCACTGTTCTCCACTTTGATTTCTTGTGAGTAGATGTTCACCGTTCAATTTGGAAAAGTCATATTTAATCAAAAGGTTCTTAACATTTGATGTGTCCCTATATGTTTACTGTTTTGCACTGAGCATGTTGATGTCATCTTTCATCTTGCCAATGTTCATACGCACTAACCCAGTGTGACACCATGTGATGCACCATTACTCAGCGATGGAACTAGGGGAAACATGATGCAAGTGTGATAAGTCAATACAGTGCTGACTGGCAATATTAGGGATTTGGTATTGCATCTTGATTTCAGCTACAAGGAAAAAGATATGAAAGGCAATCAATGTGTTGCTGCAGAGTAGCTGGTGAAGTACATTACAGGCAGATTTGAGGTAGGGAATTATTGTACTATCACTGAAAAAATAAATCTGAAGGCCTGCCAGGTATTTGAATAAGTCCTTGTAATTTAACATTGCTCTGCTAAATAGCAGTGCTTGATACTAATTTATGTGCAAATAATAATGTAATTGCTTGTTTTGAGAAGTAATTCATAAAGCCAACCCAAGAATTATGTTTGCATAAAAAGAAAACTGAACTTCTTCCCTGTTCCATTTCCTCTATGCAGAAGGTTTTTGTTGGTTTGTTTTGTTTACTTAAACACTTTTGAGCATGCAAAATTGCAATTTCTTATGTGTTTTTCTTTCACCATTCTCCTTTCAATTGCATTTTCATTATCAGCGTTGAACAACTGTAGCAACTTCCTTTAAAATCAAATGTGGGGAGGGGAGCCTGTTTTGTGGAAACACTAACTTCCCAGTTTTTAGGCCTCTGTTTCTGAAAGATATATTTTTAATTATTTTATTAAAAATATGAGGACAAACAAATCTGCCAATTTTGAGATTCAGGGTACAGCAGGGTGGAAACATTACCTTTATAACAAAAAACTTTTTAAATTTTATTACTTAGCAAATTAAATACCAAAATGGGCTAAGGCTAGAAAGACATTTTCTGAAGAAAATAGCCCTCATAAAGTAGTTGAGCCTTTGAGCATCGTGGTGAAAATTGGATTTGATTATGCAGATTGAGGAGGATTTGAAAAAACACCTTTGGTGCATATTCAGTAATTGGGATCTGGTTATTTGCACTTCTTACCACAGCTCTGAGTAAAGGGAGGCTGCACTGTGTGGACCAGGGCCTCAGCTAATGCAAGTCAGCTTGCGTCTGATGAAGTGGGCATTCACCCATGAAAATTTATGCTCTAATACTTCTGTTAGTCTTAAAGGTGCCACAGGACCCTCTGTTGCTTTTTACAGATTCAGATTAACATGGCTACCCCTCTGATGCAAGTCAGCTTAGTTCCTTTTAATATAACAGAGCTGTGCTGACTTACATTGGCTGAGGATCTTGCCCTGCCTGGTCATCCAGATCATTTAGGCAGTGATTTATGGAGGAGAGTGGCCTCAACACACACTGTGTAGGTGTTAAGATATGAACGGAATGGGGCAGATTTCCATAGCAAGTGCTGTCTACCAAAGTGTGCATTGTGGGTGAAATCCAGCACTGTGCAGAGGGCCAGTACAAGGGTTATGCATCCCTGAAGTTCTATTTTGAGGTCTTGGTAGGATAGCCCCACTGAGGTTTGTAGATTTCCCTCAAGGGCACTTCATGTTTGTAATGTATTGATCAAAAGAATATGAATTGTGCGAGAGTTTATGGTTTGCTTGGCAAATGGAGGCACCCTTAGTTTTCAATGCAAATGAGGCCTGTTTTGCCAAAGAATAGAAGCACCAAACTTCCCATTTTAACTTCCTGAATCTCCATTTTAATACCTCTACTGAGGTAAAATCAGTGGAGTGTCAAACCCCTAGAGTTTGCAAGCTAAACCAAAAGGCATCTTGTATATTTTGCCACCTGAAGATTTGCTGTTTTTCCAGGTACACAGTGAGAAGTACTTTTAACAGCTGTAAATGCTGTGAACCGTTCTCTAGGCAAACCTCCTGGAGACTTGTTAGTTAGGGCATATTGATGGTTGAAAATATTTCCTTTTTATATACATATTAAATTTTTGCAATTAGTCAGAATGAATTACTTTACTTTTTTAACAGTCTTAACCTTGCTGCATTTTGGTATCTCTAAATATATCTGTGTTACAGATAAATCCAGATGTTTCATGCATCATTGAAATGTTTATATTTCATAGGAAACTTTGTCACATCATGTCTTGGCTGGCCTGAGATTGCCTGGGAACTCCCTGACTTCTTTGCTGTGCTCTTCCACCAAGAATATGCTAGGAGATTGCTTAGATTTCTCTACCAGGAGTATCTTATTAAAATGAGGAGCACTTTCTCCCATCTTTTAATTATGCTAATCCGTCTTGGAAATACTGTCTGTTCTCACATATAAGCCAAACTTTCTGCCTACATCTCAACAAGTGAACAGACCAAGTTGGGGTCATAAGCAGCTACAAGATTGTGCTCTAAATTATGCTGGAGTGGAATGACCTTTGCCCTCCAACTCCTGTTCAGCTGTACTGTATATTGGCTACAGTTTAGGATCTACCCCAAACAGTAGACGTGGGGTGAAAGAAAAGGGAGAATCAAAACAGAGTTTATTTTATTTGTGTGTTTGCTTTGGGGGGTGTATAAATTCTAATTCCAATACACCTAAAATAATGTGTATACCCAGGACTCTGGCATGTAGGTGGTCAGTTTTTAGAGGTCACCTGCTGCCCGCAATCCAGCAGTGTTCTTATGCCATTAACCCCTGCAGCTAACCTGTGCCATGGCTAAGGCAGAGACTCAGAAACTGTACCCAGCTCCCTGACAGAGTGGGCCTAATTTTTACATGGTCCCAAGACTTGGCTATATATGTCTGCTTGTGTGAGTAAAACGGGTATTTTGAAAGTGGCTATTTGTGCACAGAAATCAGCAGGTAGCTAGATGCACAATTGCATCATTTCCAAATGTCTCTTTTCCTACAGGGATATGGCTTTTGTATGTACAAAAAGATGCATGTGCTGTTTTGAGAATGCAGGATTAGAGGTTACTTCTCAAAATGTGGTCCTGTTTGACTACCTTCACAAAACTAGTTTCTTGGTGCCAGAGTGGGTCTGAACTTTATGATGCCTAGCTGGAGATCTGTCCTTGTTTTTCCTCCCCATCCCCCCAACCTAAAGTTTAGAAAAGTCCTCTCATGCCCAGTTATTTGGAACATGCATTTTAAATATTTTGCCATTAATTAGAATCCAGAGTTCAACCTTTGCAGTGTTTCTTTTAATTCCTGAAGAATAATCTGAATGCTTAGGCTACATCTACACTACGGGGGGGAGGAGGGATCGATTTCAGATACGCAAATTCAGCTACGGGAATAGCGTAGCTGAATTCGACGTATCTGATCTGACTTACCCTGCTGTGAGGACAGCGGCAAATCGATCGCCGTGGCTCCCCCGTCTATGGTGCTTACTCCTACCTGGGCTGGTGGAGTACGCGTGTCGATTCGGGGATCGATTATCGCGTCCCGACGAGACGCAATAAATCGATCCCCGAGAGATCGATTTTTACCCTCCGATCCGGGCGGGTAGCAAAGACAAGCCCTTAGTCTCTGAATTAATTTCAAATAGATTAGATACTTGCAATACACACCAGGTGGCACTATTTGAAGAACAAAAATGTAGAGATGGTGGGGATGGATACTTCTAGTGTTAGGTTCACAAAACCAGGCTGTTTGTCAGTTCAGGCATGCTGTATTAGTACATCTATAAATGTAGTGACTTTTTAGATGGAATACTTTAAAGATTATAAGCATTTTTTGTTTTTAATGGAAAGTGAATGGTCAATATTTTAGCATAATCTATTCACTAATGGTTATTTATGATTGGGCCATGAACTTCCTGATGATGCTAACCAAAGCACCATTAGAAATAAAAAAAAAAATAGCTGCTGGTTATCAAGATGTTTGTTTCTGTTAGATCCTAGTTCTCAGGTCCCTTTTCTGAAGTAATTTGACAAAATATAAATAGAGAAGTGGCTGAGTAAGACTTGGTTTTCCTTTGGCTTGCTTTTGCTTCATACAAAAGGTCAACTCATAGACTACAAGGCCAGTAAGGGCCATTGTGATCATCTAGTTGGACCTCCTGTGTAATACAAGCCACAGTACTTCCCCAAAATAATTCTTAGAACAGCTCTTTTAGACAATCCAATTTTGATTTAAAAGTTGTCAGTGATGGAGAATC